CTCTATAAGAACCAGTTCCAGTGATCCAATTCTTGGAATTCTTAGTCTGCTTATCTATCGATCCCGCTTATTGGTTCCAGTTACACTGGAAATTTTGCTGTTAGCACTTTGGCTCTTTGTAAGCATCTGCACAGACAATATCCTATAATGCTAAGCTAGCCAAGAACCCAGAATGAAAGCTGAGGGAATGCTAACCCCCGCAGGCAGACGCTGAACTTCAACAGGTAACAAACAGAATCACTCTGAAGTTTCTTTGTGCTATTTTTTGTGTGATTACCTAAATACTAAGAGAAAGTTAACATGTGTCCTCATTAGAATATGGATTTGTGTTGGTGTGTGGGGCCTCAGGTTTACGTTATTAAACAGTAATTATGACACAGTGTGTTTCAGATACTTTACAGAGTAACATGAAAGTAATGTAACAAGTAATATAATGAATTACTTTCTCCTTGGAGTAATTATGTAGTGTACTGCATTACTTTGAGGAAAAGAGTGTTCTTTGTAATATGTGTAATAATTACTTTTTTTGAGTAACGACCCTAACGCTGATGACAAAGAAGGGAGATACCTCTAATATGCAAAAACACTTCACTCACAGCATGCAGTTGGTTTACATGAATTTCTTTGCAGTGGCATCATTTTTAAAGTGGAGCCAATGCAAACACAACAAGAATCAATAAGGAATCTAACTGATTAGTGATTTCTATAATGGAATGGAAATCACTAATCAGTGATTTCCATTCCATGGACTGCTAAATTCTTATCAATTCTTATCAATTCTTATCAATTCCCATGCCTTCTCAATACTGTTCCTGCCCTCCTCTGCCACCCCTGCTGTCCCTATGCAGTACCACGGAGCCTCTCTTGACACCTTGTCATGTGATTTCTCTAGAGGCACAAAGACAGTGAAACTCTTTGTGATCTTCTCTATAGTCTATTCTCTTATCTGGAACACTTTAAGATATCTCGATTGATTACTTTCTGCCTCAGAAGAGATAATGACAGCGACTGTTTTAATAAGCACACTCACTAATGATCACATTTTTGGAATAATCTTTGACCCAGGCTTTATTCTCTCTAACTTTACCAGACCAGACCATTCCAGCTTTATTTGTAAAGCACTTTAAAAACAACATCAATGGACCTAACTGATGAATAATAAATATGTACAAACAGATAGGAATCAAAAAGCCACAGAACAAGAACAAGTGCCATACTATAAAACAAAATAAAATAAAAAATCAATTAAATTAAATAAACATCCCACATGATGTCAAAGGCCGAGGAAAAGAGATTTAAGAAGAGATTTAAAAACAGACAGAGAAGAGGCTTGTCTGAGGTGTAAAGGCAAATCATTCATATTTTAGGAGCTGTAACAGTGAAGACACGTCTCCTCTTAGCTTATGCTTAGTTTGAGGAGCAGCTGATCAACTGACCTGAGATAAAAGGACGGTTGTAGCATCTCAGAGCGATAGTTAATTCATGGGCAGCCAGTGGAGTGAGGCTAAAATGGGAGAAACATACTCAAATTTCTGCATGTGAAAAGATCTGAGGCTCTGTCCTGTACCAACTGTAGTGATTGAGGAGCCAATAACCTCTACATAAAGTGTATTACAGTAATCCAGCAGAGAGTAACAAAGGTGTGGATTACTGTCTCAAAGTGCTGCTGAGAAAGCTTTATGCTGGCCAAGTGCCTCAACTGGAAAAGGCTCAATTTTGCCACTGCCCTGATTTGACTGTCAAATTTCAGCGTCCACCTCAACCCAGAGGTTTGTAATAGTCGGCTTGATGTACTGAACAAAGGAACACAGCTCGACAAAAAGGGTCCGAGTTGTACGCCCAAACACCATCACTTCTGTTTTTTCCTCATTAAAATTGAAAACATTAAGAGCCATTATGTCTCCAAGACACCTGAGCAGCAGTCTAGAAGAAAACGCTTCATTACTTTTAGGAGGGACAAAAATCTTGGTATCGTCCACGTAACAGTGTAATGAAATACAATACGTTCTTAATGTGGAACCAAGTTTGAGCTGGTAGAAGAAAAGAGGAGGGAGCCTAAAACTGAGCCCTGTGGAACTCCACACGAGAAAGGAGCAGAGGCTTCAAAGGCTAGCACAGAAGGTTTGATCCAGTAAAACTTCATGATCGATTGTGTCAAACCCATCGTTTAAATCGCAAAGTATAAAAACAACACAGTCACCAGAGTCGATAGCTAAAAACATGTGGTTAAAAACTCTTAAATGAGATGTTTCAGTGGTGTGTAAGATTCTGAAACCAGACTTGAAACCTCTAGAGTGGTATTCTCTTCCAAAAAGGCCATTCGCTGATTGAAAATGATCTCCAGAAATTTAGAAAGAAAAGGAAGCTTAGCTTAGATAGGCCTGTAGCTAGTGAGAACTGTGATCCAGAGATGTTTTTAAGCAGAGGTTGAACGACTGCATGTGAACAGAAGGCCCTACAGTATGGAGAATCTCTTCAGACAGTCAAGGAGGGACAGTATCATTTGGTGACTTCTTCAGACTGAAGAGTGATAAAATGTTTCTCCCACTGAAAATGCTATGTCTAGATCAACAGAATCAACTCTTTGGGGTTTTCTCACCTGGACGATTGAGCATGTATCCAGAAAGTTTAAACTGGTTTCAAGACGGCGTAAATTGGGCAATGATGGGTGCCACAGATGACAACACATTTTGTGATGAAAGTATTTGTTAGGAGGCATTCCTGGTATTATTGTGCAAAACCTGTTAACAAGTTTCCCTTGACAGTAAGCTAATAGGTGAGCATGTAGTTACCCTCAGGGTCCAGTAGCCTCTCTATCCCCAGGTGTTGCTCTGCCTTACTGAAGGCATGTTCCAGTCGGTCGACTGCCGAGGTCTTCTTCTCCACAGAGCTCCAATCAAAAAGTTCAGGCCTGGCAAGATGAAAGAAAATTGGTAGGTATCATACACACCTTTTATCAATAAAAACCCTTGCATTCCTCAGTATTTTGTAGTGCTTTAAGGAAATTAGTAACGTGTTAATAGGAAACAAATATCCTACAGCTTATGCAGCTGGGTTTATTTTTGAGTCCTGGAAGTTTATTTGCTGTGGAGTAATATTTTAATGAGATTCACACTCTCATTCACCACATTTTCCCCCACAGCGAACAATAAAAACAGACTTTTATAATGCAAAATAGCATGTTAGAAAATTCTGAGTGAAAACTCCTCCACTGTGCCATTATGTTCATGGTGATGCTTTTTGTTTCCCACTCTGTGTTCTTGTAAGATTTACTTATTTAATTTAAACTCAATCATTCATTCATGTTAGAACTATCACTTTCTTTCCTGTAAAAGCTTAGTCCTACTCATGTACACTAATACCAATAGTGTATATGAGTAATGATGAAAAGAAAATGTGAACCAAATGCACTGCAGGGTCCTTTCTGTAATTTAATGATAATTTATGCTGACTACCTTGATTAAACTTAATCAGCTTCTCATCTGCATCATATTAATAGCAATAACTTTATCAGATACACGTCTCCCTGTTATTAATCTACACCAGGATACGTCTATCAGCTAGTTTTCTGATTGGGCAGCAATGCACACTCTGTTGCAGTGATTGCCAAAGTGTAGACTGTGAAGGTGCAGGTGGTGTCTTTACTGCAGGTGGGCTGCAGTAAACAGAAATTTAGTTAGAATAGAATAAAAAATATAAATTTGAGGTGGTAAGTTGGTTATAGTACTCGTTATTCTTACTCTATGAACAATTTCAATCTGGTTTCCGCCCCAATCATAGCACAGAAACTGCTCTGCTAAGGATTACCAATGACCTTCTGATGGCAGCTGATTCTGGTCTTCTATCCATCCTCATCCTTCTGGATCTTAGTGCGGCGTTTGACACCATGTCTCACAATATCCTGAGGGTGAAGTGCTCTATTGGAGTGATACTGTACTATGAGGTCTTTAAGATAAGATCGGGTCTGATTATTCTAGACCTCGTATATTTTTTTCTACATACCTGCTTTCTATCTAACATTCACACACATTCATAATTTGATGGATGAATTGAAGAATAACTTGGGGTTAACATCTGGCCCAAGGACGCTTTGCATGCAGACTAGACAACTACCAACTTTCCAATTAGTAGCTGACCCGCTCTACGTTCTGAGCTGCAGCCACCCCGTAGTACAAGGCTGAGGGTACCGTTGAGTGCCGCTAGTTTATTCTTGAGCTTATGAATGAGTTCCTAGCAACTCATTTCTTACTCCACTAACCATGGAAAAAGAAATTAGACTAACCAACTAGTCTGATGATTTTCAGATAGTTTACTGTGTTTTTCTTCTGAAAAATGTTGCTTCCTAAAGTTAAAAATAAGGCAAAAGAAATGCTAACTTAAAAAAAACTACAAACAATGTCTTAATGCATGGATGATTCCCAGGTATGGATAAATGTTCAGTTCCTCTGGAGATGATGGTCCATGACACAAATGTTTTATCAGTCATTTAAGTGATTTCAGTATTCAGTCTCATGGGTGAGTGATGGAAAGTTTCTCCAACAGAACACACTTGCCCAGTTGAACTGAATCCACTTTTTAAAGAAGTTGTTAGATGCTGACATGCTTACTAAAACTGAGCCCTTTCACTGATTACAGATGAGCCTCCCAAACTCTTGTCTGTTATTTACATTTTTAATTTCTCCTATTTGAAATTAGCTGGATCTTGTAAGTATAAAAACTAACAATCAACTTTGATCAAAAATAAAATTTAAAAACCCATTCTTAGTCAGGACTAAGACTTTATTTTACAGCATAACAACTTTGAGCAGAAGGTGCAGAAGAGCCAAAATGTAATATCACAATATGATGACACATGCTATTGTTTCAGGAAACTGTACAGTTGGATGCATTACTTCAGTAAAATAGCACAGGGATGTAAAGTAGAAAGGGACAGATTTCTGGCTGATCTTAATGAGTGGGCGTTGCAGCACGAAGGATGTAACGTCGATGTAAAGCGCTGAGGTTTGTCTCTTTGTCATGATTAAGCCATTATCAGCTTCCTGGTTAGGCCAGTCCTGTGCTTTGTCAGCCTTATCCCACTTGACATCAAATCATGTACTTGTGAAAACAGAAAACGCTGGGAAAGAGACGCTGAAGTGTGAAGGGGAACAGAGAGAAGAGTCGGGTTAGAGCTCGGATGGTTTACATGTGAAATGCAGAAAAGAAAAAAGACGAAAGGGGGAAATTCAAACTACGAAACAGTCAGGTTCACTTTATTATTAGAGCAGCCTCAAGGTCATTATGAAAATGAATAAACAACATTGTTGAAATACTGTGAATAAAGTAAAATAAAATCAGTTGTTTACTACATATAGATGCTGATGCAACTGCTAGGTTACTTCAAAATATACTGCATTAAATGATAATGCACGCGGAACTTTATGATACGCCAAAACTCTG